TGTTCAGAGCTAATTATAAAATAGCCAGGGAAATTAAACCACTTTAAAATTGATTTGTTTGTTATTTTTACTAATCAATAACAAATCAGTGTTTAAACTTTGGGTGGTTGTCAGTAGATGTACTGGGCATCACAGCTAGTGAATGACTTACAAAAAGGATACTCAACCAGCCATCATTTACGTTTGCTAATTAAATGGAAAAGCAAGGAAGCAGGTATGGAAATTTGAAGCAAGCACTAGAAGTCCAGCATTACAGTACATTTTGCAGAGATGCTAGAGCCATAGTTTAGTCACCTCAGTAGACTAGAAGTAGTGCTTTGTAATGAACTGATTCGTGATCAGTTCTGTTGGTCTTGGACTTCCTTTGTGATTTTTGTGTCTCTGAGGATTCAAAGAAAAGAAATGGCAAGGGAAGCCAGCACAGTAAGTATGAGAAGTAGAACACTTATAAGGCTGATATTGGAAGCCTAGGTCCAGAGTCTGATGATGGCTACTCCAGTGTAAATGCAGCATGACATTGAAATATACTGTGTTCTATTAGATTCCCTCCAGTGTACCTGAGAGAAGAATCTGCCCCATGCACTTTCCTTTCCTTTTTTAGTAATTCAAATGAGCCATTTGTTTTTACGTATTAATTGAAACATATTTTATGTTTGTTCTCATATTAGTTGGCTGACATAGGTCATTTTTAGTGTTTCTATAAGGAAGGTACTTATTTGGGTCAGGCATAATGTGAACAGGTGCTATATATGTTTCCTCGCTCATTTTTGCTAGTGCATCTCAATTTTGACCCATGGTCCTGACCATTTCACTTTTATTCCTGGGCCTGTTTCCTGGTAGTAGCAGACTTAGGCCAAATTGTGTAATGCTTTTGATATGTGGACAGATATCCACTGGGGATTAAGTTGAAGTAACTCATTTTCACCTCTGATAAAATTCAAATGTAACCCAAGTTTCCAGAGGTAGAAGGGGGCTAATGTATTATCCAATTCTGCCAGTTAGTCTGTTTTGTTTAAAAGGGCACTGTCAACTTAAAAATCATACATGGTAATTTTTTTTCCAGACAGAAATATTCCTGCAGTAGTACCCAAGATAAATTTAACTGAAAGAGGTTAGAGGGGGGAAAATCTATATTAGCTTCCAGTTTGCTTACACCATATGCATTTGACAGCTCTTCACGTCTAGTTAGTTTTATTGTTTCCTCTGTACAATGTCAGTTTCTCCATTGGTTGCATGTGTGTGAAACACAATGACATGAGAGTAAGAAGCATTAAAAGGTAGAGGGAAAGGAAAATGTGATTCTAAAACAACAAAAATTGGTTTGAAGACTTAGATGCAGGTGTAATTTCCAAAACTACTTTTAACACATTTGAAAAGAACCAGTTCTCAAACTGACCATGCCCCTTTGAACATTATTCCATCTTCAGTGGGTACTAGACAGTTCAATCAGCTGATAGCAGTATCACACAAAATAACTTAATATTTGGTGTAATAGTGACTGAAGAATAAAAGGAAAAAGCAAGCTTGAAAGGGAGCCCGAGGCTGAAGTGAAGTTAAAAACGACTTTGTAAAGTTTAACATGTATTTGGAGGGCAGAGGGTGAAAAATATAACTGGCCAATCAGTAGGAAGAATAAAAGTAATTCAGTCATTTTGGCAAATTTCTCATATTTTTGCATTATTTCAGCCACAGTTCTCCCTACTTCCTCCAATAGAACTAAATTCTGCCTTTCAGTGTGTATGCCTCTCCCATTAGTGTCAGTGGGAGTTATATACTCACAACAGAAGATAGAGTTTGGCCTCTCCCTTTGTGAACAGCTGTCATTGATCTCTGATATACCAATTTGGGGGGAGATTTGGCTCCCATTGGCTTTCAGTAGGACTTGTGCTCCTAAATTTTGTAGGCACTTCTGAAAATCTCCCCCTCCATTCGTACCCAATCAATGGGAATTATATACAATCAGGCTGGGACTATATTGAGGTTCTTTTGAAAAATCTTCCCACCTTTTCTTTAGCACGAATGTAGCTCCACCAGTCTGTCAGTGTCATCTGATTGCTGGCATTTTTACCACAGTATTATATAGTCCTGTTTACACCGTTAGCAGAATTTGCTCCAACCCCTCAGACAAACACCTACAAGATCTTTATCAAGCATTCGTAAAACTACAATACCCACCTGGGGAAGTGAGGAAACAGATTGACAGAGCAAGACGGGTACCCAGAAATCACCTACTACAGGACAGGCCCAACAAGGACAATAACAGAACACCACTGGCCATCACATACAGCCCCCAGCTAAAACCTCTCCAGCGCATTATCCACGATCTACAACCTATCCTGGAAAATGATCCCTCACTCTCACAGACCGTGGGAGGCAGGCCAGTCCTCGCTTACAGACAACCCCCCAACCTGAAGCAAATACTCACCAGCAACTACACACCACACCACAGAAACACCAACCCAAGAACCAATCCCTGTAGCAAACCTCGTTGCCTACTCTGTCCCCATATCTACTCTGGCGACACCATCAGAGGACCCAACCACATCAGGTACACCATCAAGGGCTCATTCACCAGCACATCCACTAATGTTATATATGCCATCATGTGCCAGCAATGCCCCTCTGCCATGTACATTGGCCAAACTGGACAGTCCCTCCGCAAAAAAATAAATGGACACAAATCGGACATCAGGAATGGTAACATACATAAGCCAGTAAGTGAACACTTCAATATCCCTGGTCATTCTAGTACAGATGTAAAAGTCACAATCATTGAACAAAAAAACTTCAGAAACAGACTTGAAAGAGAAACATCAGAACTAAGATTCATTTGCAAATTTAACACCATTAATCTGGGTTTGAATAGGGACTGGGAGTGGCTGGTTCATTACAGAAGCAGCTTTTCCTCTTCTGGAATTGAGAGCTCCTCATCCAATATTGGGAGTGGACTACATCCACCCTGATTGAATTGGCCCTGTCAACACTGGTTCTCCACTTGCGAAGTAACTCCCTACTCTCCATGTGTCAGTATATAATGCCTGCATCTGTAACTTTCAGACTATGCATCTGAAGAAGTGAGGTTTTTACCCACGAAAGCTTATGCCCAAATAAATCTGTTAGTCTTTAAGGTGCCACGAGACTTCTTGTTGTTTTTTTAGATACAGACTAACACGGCTACCCCCTGATATTTATCTTGTGTGGCTAACTGATTTTCAGTTGGGAGCAGCAACACAAAATAATGAGATACCTGGAGAACATAAATGGAACTTTATTATCCCCAACAAGAGAAGAAAAGGTGCTTTAGAACTTGGGACAGTTAATCAAAAATAGGCACCACAAAAATAAATATAAACTTAGATAGAAGATACCCTCTTCCATTCCCAATTTGGGAGCAAGTATAACAAATTATAAATTTTCCAGAAACTTGCAAATCAGTGGTAGAAAGAATAAGATGTAAAAAGCCATACTGTGTCTTAGACAGATTGCCTCCCTGAGCTCTGTGGAGAAAAGCAGAACAAGAGAGATGCCCTTGTGTTATGCTCCATGTGGTAAGAACATCCCCACTGTGTCATGTATCATTAATGGTATTTGACTGATGAACTTTTATCACGACAGAACATATTCTACCACTTCATCTACAGGAATAGCTATCAGCAAAAGAAAGCTGTTATCTGGGAAAGGGGATGAACTGCTAGCCTTATGTGCTGGGACTCAGAATGGTTGACCTGGTGCTTTCTCTCTTCCCCTTTTCCTATCTGATGTGGTTCCCCAAGAGGGTGAACGGGATTCCTAGGACCATGTGTTGGTTCTGAGGGGCATGGTGGTGGGTGGGGTGGAAGGTTTATCTCCTCCTGCCAGACCTTAGTTCTGTCCCTGCTCCCACACTGCTACAGTGTGCTCTGACAGTTCCCATGCATTCCCGGTGCGGCGTTTGCTGCTGCTACTGTTCTGCTGCTGCTTTGGCAGCAGCATGGGCCCAGCTCTTTAGAATGTTCCATTTAATAATTATTTTTGTATGCGCCAAGACATTGCCGATCGATGCAAGTCAGATAAGGGAAATGGGAATTTTTAGCAGTTTAGAACTCAGCTAAACCTGAACACATTTTATGGGATAACGAATAAACACTTGTCTAGCCTGAGGGCTCTCTCACTTGCCAAATTTCAAAGGCTTCCTGCAGACTATGGAGATGTAGGAACTTCTTAAAAAAAGTTGCAAGAATTTTTTACAACTGAAAATGAGGGGTCAATACAGCCTGAATAGAGGGGTTACTACAAGCTTCCCCTGTAATACATATGTACATGTACTAGGAAAGTATGACTATTTTGATGCGAGGATCTAATGGCCAGCCCCCGATGATGGATTTAAAGAGACAGGTAACAACAACTACATAAAGAAAATGTGGGATTATTCCTTTAAGCATAGATATTATTTACTTAATTTGCATGGACTCCCCTATTTCATACCACGTAGCAAGGGCAGAATAAGCCATTTTTTGGTACTTATTTCAAAGGGTTCTATACCACACTGTAAAAGAAATAGCTGCTATTAATGAAGTTTTGTTGTGTTCTGTTTCAAAGGAGCAGCTATTATCTCCTTCCTCTCAAAAGGTGATAACTGTGGTTTCAAAATAGACAAAATCACGCCTCCTGAAATCATCTGAGAGCAGACAATTTAATTTTTTAATTACTTCTGCTATACTGCAAATGATTAAGTATTATTACAACTTGACTACATACTATGCACACAACTAGAAATTTACCAGACTACCTATAACTGATTCTAGGTCTGTGTACCAGATGTTTATTAATTCCCATTAGTTTTCCACAGTTCAGTCACCTTGATGCTCCACCTGAACTCCATTACAACAATTACATGTTTGTTTTTACTTTATTGATCTATATAATATGAGGAAATGCTAAGTAGCATCTCAGGGAGCCTTGGCATGTATAGGCAAATACAAGTGTTCATATTATCTAATCTTTTGGGTTTGTATTTGCAGTGCATGTATTGGATCCCAGGATCCTTACTGTGGATGGGACATGGTGATGAAGAAATGCACAACACTGGAAGAAAGTCTAAGCATGAGTCAGTGGGAACAAAGCATCACTGTGTGTCCAGTAAGTCCAAGAAAATTAATTGACCTCTTAAAGTTCTTGAGTTCATGTGGATCTCATGTAAACTAGTCACTGTAAGATTTCTCAAGCTGAGAACATAATTATACACAAAGCACATTGCTTCAGGCCTTTCCACTCAGATGTGGACTGTAAACATATTTGTTTTTCAGTTCGTAGCCGACTAAATTGCAGTATGTACAAGAAGTTGTTTGCAGTTTTATACGGCGCAGTCAGCTTTCTTCCCCCACTGTACACATTCCCACTTTGAAGATGAATATTCAGAGACAAATTACAGCAAAGTGTTTTTCCTTCCAGAATTCCCCCCCGCACACACACTTTGTACTGTAAAACCAGATTTTAATTGCTAAAGATGGAATCTTGCCCCCTGAGGTTGTTATTGCTAATTTAAAAAGTCACATAACATTTCACAAAGTTCACTAATTGAGAAAGTGCTATCCTTCCGGAGACAGAAAGTGGATTGTTTGGATGCAGAAAACCCACACACCTAATGACACATGAACACTGATTATAGCAAGTATAATATTTATGACTGCTCACTTTTTTATATATATATAGATATAATTTCATGTGGGATGAGTTGATATGCTCTCTCCTGTTTAGTCTGGCCTCACTCAAAATATATAATGAAATAAACAATACATACAATAATAATACATATTTTATTATTTAATGTACGAGTACAGATGGTCTTTTATAAACAAAGAAGAAAATTCCCTTCCCCAAGGAGTTTGCAAACTAATGGCCAGATTCCGCTTCCCCTATTCATGTTGAATAGTACCTTGGTCTATTGAAACAGTTGCATTGCATTCAGTGGGATTATTCTAGAAGTAAGGTACCACTCAGCATCAGGGTGTTCGAATGTATCTGTATAGCATAATTGGAGTAGACACCCAACCAAAGTGGAAGGGAAGGAAGGTAGTCAACAGAAACCTCAGGAAAAGGAAATACTGCTCTTTGCAGAGTACGATTTACAAAGAATTCAGAGAATGCTATTTTAGATGCACTCAAGAGCAAGAGTAGACAATATGGAGGTGAGAATAATAAAGGAAATCAAGCAAAAGACAGATTAGAAGAATGTGGAGACACCTTCCACTGAAGAAGAGGGAGGTTGTTTAAGGCACAGAAGTGGCTACGACTGGTACTGATTCTTGAGTAGGGAGAAGAAAACAAAAGGAGCAGTGAAGCAAGATGATTATACAGACCATATGGAACAAGAGAAGGAATAGAAGGAAATGAGAACTAAGATATAAGCAAGGAAAGAGCTATATGAATGCCTGAAGGTGAGAAAGATGAGGCCGAACTTGATGTGTAGTCAAGGAGCCAGTGGAGAGAGGGGCAGAGAGAGATGATGATTTTTAGCTGCAGTGTTTTGGATAGACTAGAAAGGGGAGAAGAAAGGAAGCCAGAAAGAAAGGGAAGTTATGATAGTAGAGATTAAAAAAAACTGGTGCATGAGGCAGGGGGTTAGCAGTCAGGATACAGAGGATTTTAGGCATGTTACAAAGGAAGAATGGCAGGATTTTTTCAAGATCCTGGATGCTCTAAGATTCAAACAGGGCACAAGCCTGGGTGGCAGGGAATATAAAGCAGTTATCATTGAAAAGGTTGGGGAGAGGAGAATGACTTGAGGGATAGGTGATGAATATAGGAATAAAATGTCATCCTTGAACTTAGATAAAAAATACCTTTTGCCTGTCTGAACTGTCTCTCCCAACCTGGCTATCTTCCAGGGCTGCCCAAACGTGTTTGAGCGCTCTGTGAGGGGGCTTCTATAAAGCACTCGGTTTTGACCTGACACTGCTCCCGCTGAAGTCAATGGCTAACTTCAGCAGAAAAAGTTAAGCTAGTATTGAGCATACCACTGTCTACCTTCCAAAATTGACAGTGACTACTAATCGGGGGTAAAACCCACTTGGAGACTTGCTCTTTTATAATGAAAAACTGCTTGTATGCTTATACTTTTCTAGTAACCAACAGTTAGTGCTTTAGCATCAAGTTCACAAATCCCTCTCAATATTTTTCTATTAGATACATACTAAAGGAAAGAGGGTTTTGTTTTGTTTTGTTTTTTCCTTTGGGAATATTTGAGATCTGTGGTGTACAAATAGAAATGTGTATTCTGAACACTACTCTCAAATGCATTTTGAAGCTAAATCCACCTCTCAAGTCTTTTAGGCTTTTCCTCATCATGTTTTGTTGTTGTTATTTATTTGTTTGTTTGTTGTTGTTTCCCACCAGTCTCACATTTTGCTAAACCTTTACAAACCAGCAAAGAACTCTGTCTAATGACTGACAGACTAATAGAGGTTCAAGACAAGGAGTACAGCTCATTCACAAGAGTGAATAAAGTGATGTTTTGGTCACATCTTGTTAATACATGGTTACATTAACACAGTTTCCCCCCCCCCCCACTCCTACCTAACGATTACTTACC